CTGTTTCCCCTGTCTGCTCTGGAGGGGACGATGCTGTTGAGATGAAAAGCAGAAGACTGAATTCCCAGTACATTAAACAATGCTTAAATGTAAGATTCAACTCTAACCCAAACCACAACACTTCAGTGTCATTAATCATCCACAATATCATATAATAAAATATTATTAAAATATGAATTGTACTTTTCCAAAAGCATATGAAAATTGGTCATGTAGATTTAATTTCAGTATATTGAGTCTTTATATCCCTGAGAACCTACTGCATACAGCTTCTAAAGGTTGACTCATGTACCTGAACAGTCACTGAGGTAGGAAAATAGACAGACTTAATATAAGGAGGTTAAGAAAGGTACCACAGCTTCTCCTAACAGCTATTTTCCATTTTTCAGGGACATGATGACTCCTTCAAAATAATTCCCATGCCTCAAATATCCGAATGCTTATTATTACTTAAATAAGGGGACACAAAACAGCTGTGTTCAGCCACACTGCACTGAGGCAGACTTATATCCCACTGAGAGCACCAGTTGTTCAAGTGGTAGGCTGAACAGCAGGAACTCTTAAAGGATCTGTGTCTTATACAGAGTCCCTGGGACTACCTGAGTTGCTAGGAAATATGTCCATAACTTTTTTGGGTTTTCTCAGGATTAGACTACAAATATAGCCAGACTTCTTTTGGACACCAGCTCCCAAATAATGACACAGAGATTTATTATTATTATTATTATTATTATTATTATTATTATTATTATTATTATGAAAGCCTTGACCTTAGCTTCTGCTTATTCCCAACTTGCTCTTATAACTTAAATTAACCCATTAAAATTAATCTACATTTTGCAGTGTGAAGCAATAGCTCTCCTCTTGCCAGTGATTCTCTCACTTCACACACCTTCCCAGAGTTCCTATCTCCACCCAGAAGATATCCTTTTCTGCTGAGTCATTGGCCATTCAGCTCTTCATTAAGCCAATCAGTGTCTTAGACAGGCAAGGAAGGACAGATACACGTCTTTACACAGAGAGATCAAATACACCACAACTGTATATCTCACACTTGGCACTAGCTTTTTTGTTTCTTTCACTGAAACTGGAGCTATGTGCTTTGACTATATTTGCTGGTAAGCAGGCCCCCAACACATTCCTGCCTCTGTCCCCCATCACTGTGGTTATAGGTATTCATCAGCATAGTTGGCTTGTATGTGGATGCTGGGGATCTGAATTCAGGTCCTCGTGATTGCAAAGCAAGCAATTTAGTCACAGAGCCATCTCCCCAGATCAAAAGATATCTCCTTATCAGTGTGATAAGGTAGAACAATTTCAGCACAAACGCAGTCTTGCAGAATCATGACTACAATTAGTTAGGTGTCATAGCGAAGACTCTTTGATCATTCTCTAACCAATGTTATATGGTAAGTTAGACAGCTGTGAGGGTCCCTCCAAGCATTAGAAGAAACAAACGAAGAGAGGTAGAAAGGGAAACTCAGTACAGCCTGACTTAGTGCTGGTTGACACTTCTGAAGTCTGATACCAGGTGTCAAAAGCTACCGAGTACCAGCACTCTCTCGGGGTTCAGGGCAGCACTTCTACAACAAGAGAACACAGCTTGGGAATGGGTCTGACTGATTTAGGCACCGTTTTCATGCAAGTTTCTTTATTCCTTAGGGGAAGATGAGCACAAGGGCATCAGACGTAAGGACAAAGCATCAGACATAAGGGGTGAGGCATAAGGGTAAAAGGGGCTAAAAAAGGTGAGGGTGTGAGGGAATAAGGCTAAGGGCAAGGGTAAAAAACGTAAAAACATAAGGGGTGATCTCCACAAAGTTATGAAAGGAAGTGATTTAGGTACCAAACTTTGAACTCCCCAAGATAGGATAGATAGAGTACTTTCATGCAATTTGCCAATACAAATGGACTGGACATTGTGAATATAAGCCTCACTAGATAATCATTCTTACTGTACATAGTTTTACTGTGCTTGAGTTAAGACCTTTCCTTTTTTTTACATAAAAAGGGGGAAATGTGGGATAATCTTTTTGTATACTGTGAAGATTCGTCTATGTTTTATTTCATCTGCCTAAGGCACCTTCTGATTAGTTTAGTAAAGAGCTGAGTGGCCAATAGCTAGGCAGGAAAGGATAGGCTAGACTTCTGGGGAGAGATAGAAATCTGGGGGAAGAATCTGAGAGGCAAAGACTTGTCAGAGGGATTTGGAGGATGTTGGGCATACAGCATGGAGGATGCTTAATGAGTCATGTAGCCGAATGTAGATTAATATAAACAGGTTAATTTAAGTTTTAAGAGTTATTTGAAAGCAAGCCTAAGCTAAGACCATGCTTTCAGACTTAATAAGAAGTATCTGTGTCATTATTTAGGAGCTAACAGTCCAAAGAAAGTCCATTTACATTATACCCTATCAAGTTTTTGGATGGGTGGTGTATATCCCCAGAGATTGACCCAAATAATGTAGACTCTGGTCCTGGTTATCCATTAGAACTAGGTAGCAAGTGTGGAAGACAGTACACACTTTGCTTACAAGGCATGGAGAAATCCAACTGACACTCACCGGGAAGCTGTCTCTTCTGCTTTCATGGTGCCACAAGGTATTTTGCAGGCTATACTGGAGAAAAGCCATCAGCAGTCTGACCCAGCTGTGAACTGTACAGACTACAGCAATGACTGGTCTGGCAAGAGCTGTCTATTGACAAAATAGTGACTGGATGCGATGAAGGTATGCAGCAGATTTCTAGTTGTATTTCAGGCTTTCATCAAAGGTGGAAACTCATGCATAGTGCTGTATGCCTGGCCAAGAACCAGTGGCTAGGTGGTCATAGACCCTGGAGAGAACATATTACTATTATTTTGCTAAAGAGACATAGTATCAAACTGTCTTCTAAATACTTACTTTATATCCATAGTGCAGCACGCTCCTTCTCAAAGGAGCTACTTTTTCGGTCAGGATGACTTAAAGCAAAGACTAAAGATTGGTTAACGTACAGAGAATATGAGGCTGTGGGATTCTCATCCCTAAATGGGACAGATAATCACAACCCTAATCCCTAGGCTTGGGGAACACCATGGAAAAAGTGGTAGACAAATTTTAAAAGCCAGAGTTTGTGGATGACTGCTACAAATTAATGTCTTCTGGACATTGCACTCGTGACCTCACAACAGTGGTGGGGGACTGTATAAGAGCTAAACCAGCCAGAATTCCAGATCAGAGAGAAAGGATGTCATAAGGTTCCAGCCTTGAATGAGGAGCTCTTAGCAGTTGGTGGTTACTGGGGAGAGAGAGAGACAATTGTTTTTTTCAGTGGTATAATTCAGTGCAGGTCACCCAGGATGGTGTCTCACACCCATGAATTTATGGGCAGCAGGAATTCAGCTCAGTGAAATATTGGAGGGAGGGAAGAAGGAAGGCATGGAGAGAGATAGAGATAGATAGATAGATAGATAGATAGATAGATAGATAGATAGATAGCATGTCTTGGGGGTTATTCACAAGTAGTTGGAGGGGAAAATAGAGATCCATACGATTTAATTATACTGTATTTATGCATGAAATTATCAAAGATAAATAAAGTTTTAAAAAGTAGGGTACAGAAATGAACATAAATCTCCACAAGTACTAAATGAGCAAACAGACCCACAGACATGTCCACTTACACACATACAATGAATAACAAGTAAAATAAAAAGAGAAATAAGCTATCTCTGGTTGTAAAGTGTGTTACTTAACCACACCCAAGGCACTGCAGAGGGCGTATGTACTTGAGCAGCACACCCAAGGCACTGCAGAGGGCATATGTTCTTGAGCAGTACACCCAAGGCATTGCAGAAGGCATATGTACTTGAGCAGCAGTCCTTGACCTTTCAAGGAGAAAATCTTTTCTGCTGAGCCATTTGTCTCATCACCGACCAAATGTGCCAAGTCCACTTTGCCTGGACACAATAGCTTAAAGAGGAATGAAATGGAGAAACTAAACATTCACACTTAATTTCCATGGTTAGCAGTATCACTTAAGTTGCAATAATCTCAACCACAATTGATGTTTTTGTTCTAAATTAAAACTGGAACCAGTATAAACTCCTGCTAGTTTTTCCTTGACTCTGTTCTGATATTGAAGTCACTTAGTACTTAATAACTCAGAAAAATGCAAGAAAACATTGGATGATAAAAACAGATATTTTTCTATTCTAAGCTCAATTCAAACAGAAAAGACAAAGGGATCAATCAAGTTTAGAATACTGTGTCCTACTTGGCACCCATACTTTAAGCTAGACGAATGGAAGAGGAATGAAGATTCATGACCACATGTGACCCAACAGCTAGAATTAGCTCTAATGTGGATCCAGCGTACTATGAGGTTGAATATTTCCAAACACTCATAACCATTTCATGCTGGAAATGACTGCAAGAGGCCTAGGTAGAAGGTAGGTTATAAGTAAGCATGAGTGTATCAAACAGGATTCAGATTCTTCAGCCCAGAGTAGGACTTCATCTTAGTCAACAACATGGGTCCTTCTCAACACTGGGGTATTATTTAAGCTAAAATCAGCAGGATTTTAATTCTGTGATAGAATTTATGAACAAATTTTTCAAATCAAAGCAGGAAATATTTTGTTTTCTATTTTAACTATTAAAAGATGTTTAATACACACACACACACACACACACACACATATACGCACACACATACACTCCCCACCCATTTAAAAAGATATATTTACCTTGCTTTAATTGAATTGACCATACTTTCTACAGACCCTTTCCCATTTCTATTTTCTATTTCTTTTCAAAATCCATGGCCCTGAGTTTAACAGACTAGATCCAAAATGGTTTTCCTATAAATAAAGGCTTTAAGATTTTGTCCATAGGGAAGGAATAAACATGAAATAGGGAATTGACTGTATTACCCCCTCATAGTACTGTATTTAATCACAGAAAATAATCTTTATGAATTCAGTGTCTTTTCAAATTACAGAGCAGTTTAGCTACTCACCACAAGTGAATAATAAATTCTGAATCCAGGTTTTGCCACAAAGTAATCATCGGATTTGAATGTAATTTTAATCTGGTTTGTTCTTGACGTTATCCTTGGAGGGGTTTCCTTGTGGCCACACCATCTTCCTCTAACGACAGTGCTGGTTTCAGAGATATCTTCCACTTCCACAAAGTCATACCTAGAAACAATGGGATTCCGTTAATGTTTTTACTAAGGTTGATTTGAGAAAAAAACTCACACATCATTCCTTATGACCAACTAACTGAAAACAATAACCTGCAGTAATGAATGTGCAAAACCGAAAGCTTGTGTGGGGGAAAGTTTGGCAAACTTGAAATTCAATCAGTCTACCCAGAAAGAACCCTCATTTCCTCCACTATGACAGTTTCAATGTCCTATGTAATTAAAAGCAACTTTCAGAACATGAAGCCTAGAATGTTTTCTGGAAAAAATAAGTAGCTGTAATATGTAACATATTTTAGAGGTAAGTTGAGCTACACGTCCTAATATTCACCATATGAAGATTGCAAACCACTACTCATTGTGAAACAGTTTGCCCACTCAACACTTCCTTGAGAAGTACATGATTGACATCTTCGTAGATCGAAGGGCCTCGTTTCTTTATGACCTTTTTTAGAAAGGAAAGGGTACGATGCTAAGTGGCTATACCTGCTAATCAGTAATGCCGGTTCTTACAACAGCGGGCGATTGAGTCTACATTAACACAGGATCGCTCTCAGTGTTAGTCTATAAAGCACAGCACAGATCCATTAACTATTCTGTGTACGTCCATCGTCCTGTACCATTCTACTCCATCCTGAAAAATCTGAGAAGCAGCTTCAGTGGATGAAAGGCCTGGAAAGTGAGCCCGCATAAGACTCGCTCGGATATTGTCTGGGCCAAAGTCCCAATTTATCTGTGGCTTGCTTTCTGTTATAAGGAAGCAGGTATCAGGCCCTCGTTCTGGCTCACCTAAGACTCTGTGGCTTCCAAGTGGGAGAGTGAGGAAAGCTTCTGGAGTTATCACCGCATTTTATGCTAATGATGGAACTATTGGTGACACCAAGGACATCTGTGAGTTCTCTGACTGTGGTAGCAACTCAGAAAAGCCAAGGCATGTTGCAGGAGGTCCTCCCACTCCTCCAGCCTATAGCTGCTGAGATACCAACCCATTGGGGCGTGGTCTCTCTCCCTTTAAAAAAGCGGCCACTTCCCTCTCCTCTCTCTCTTCACTTCCTGCTCTGCAGGCAACTAGACTCCCATCCTGGTTGCATAGAGGGCTGTTGCATGGGACAGTGATCTGTAAGTTTTTTCCCCTTTAAATAAATACCACCCTATTAATCATAATTCCAAACTGGTGTGGCATTGTTTGTGACTTACGCCTTCAAAGGCAGGGCTGTGAAGCTCTGGTTCATTGCATGGAGCAGAAGATGGAAGGCCAGGGACCCGCATCTGACATTTAACAATGGGGACACTTAAGGCATTGAACTCTGTGGCACTGGATGCCAAACCCGAGTGGCTGTGCCAGAAATAAGATGAACTAACTATAGAACCCCTGGCAGGTGTTAGAGAATTGTTCAGAGTGGAGAAAACAAAGCTCCCAAGCTCACATATTTTTGTACGTGAACATAGACCACAGTTGTTAATTTGATGAGGTTTAGAATCACTAGGGATGTAGACCTTGGGGCACATGTGGGGAATCATCTCCATTGGTTAGTGAGGTGAGAAGTCACATTCACTGTACAGGAACTACTCCCGGGCCTGCGCCCTGGATCGTACACTATCAAGAAGGTTATTCCTCCCCATCCCACGACTGACATTGCCATGGGACCAGTTGCTTGAATTCCCTACCACCTTTGAGCTGCAAGCCAAAATGGACTTTTCAGCCACTAGTTCCTATTGTCAGGCTATTTTAGCACAGTAACTGCAAAGGAAGCTGAGAAGGTGCAGATGTCCTCAGTGGAGACAGATCTACCATGTTCTCTCCTCCAATCTCTTTTAATTGCATTTTATTTAAATTTTGTCCCTCTCACCATTTTTTGTCAACACACACAGACACACACAGACACACACACACACACACACACACACACAGGTTGAAAGACAGAAGATCAGCTTTAGTTTATTTTCTTAGCAGATGTTAGTTAGTTCTCCATGTGTGTATCTGACTCTGCTTTCTGGTATACATTACCCTGTGTGCTCCTAGAAAATGATAGTTCATACTGTTATTTTCTGGGGAAAAACAGCAGCATAATAAAAGCTGTCAGCATAATCAAAATGAAACAAAGGACAAGCAAGCTGGATGCACCTCTTTTTATTATTCAGAGGAAAATAAACTGTGGAAAAGATTTAGTAGTTCAGGAGTTCGTTGGCAATGCAGAATAAATACAGCCAGTAAAGTACAAAGAAGAAAAAGAAAATCCCCCAGAGGTCTTACAGAGATAATCGAGGGGGAAGATGCTGAAGCCTGAACTTTCTCTGATAAGCATGTTAACGAGGGAGGGTCATTAGCGGATTCTCATCTTCTCCCCTGTTCAGGGAAGAAGAGCACAAGGACGCTAGGGTTGCTCGGCTTCCTTCCCATGTCTAGAGAGGTCCTGGCCTAAGTATCTGTCACCATTGCCTGTCATGGTTACAGTGGCCTGACCTCTGGAACAAGCAGGGTCTTGACACTTTGTGCCTGTGGCAGACTATGGCCCGGTTACAGTTTGCAGCTCAGGGGACCAGGATTAGATGCATCTAATGTCTCACAAAGACCTCTGTAGGTCTTGGAAAATCACAGATCCCAGTCTATCCTCAGGGAAACATGTAATTGTGATTGATGGTAGTGTCTATTTCTGTGGGCCTTCTACACTGCCAACACAACACTTTTTTTTTTTAGAAAGAAAGACCATTTTATTGTTAATATAACATTTGCCCCTCCTTTCTTTGTAGGTACAACTGTGACCAGCCACTAAGCTGAAGTGAGATCTTCAGATTGTGAGCGTTTTATAGAGAAGGGGAAAGGAATTAATAAGAAATGTTTGGGTAATTCCAAACAGTTTAAGAAGAATGTTCGAGCCGGGCGGTGGTGGCACACGCCTTTAATCCCAGCACTTGGGAGGCAGCGGCAGGCGGATCTCTGTGAGGTAGAGGCCAGCCTGGTCTACAGAGCGAGTGCCAGGACAGGCTCCAAAGCTACAGAGAAACCCTGTCTCAAAAAATCAAAAAAAAATCCAAAAAAAAAAAGAAGAAGAATGTTCGATGTGATGTTTTTCATTCAGTTCCTCCCACTTTGACTAGAACACCGAAAAGCATCAATTTCTCTTACCTACAGATGTCATTTTCTGCTTCCTCTAATCCAAACTGATGGTCAAAGGCCAGCTGTATGCGTGTTTTCTCCTGGGAATGGAGGCGCCATGTGAGGAGCAGGTTCCGGGGGTAGCTGCCGGGGAAGCGAGGACTCTGCACGTGGCCATGGCCTGTCACCTGGATGTTCTCATCTCTTCGGTACAAGTCTGTGAGGTGATTGCCCTCTGTTAGTAGTCACAACTTGTAGAAATTAGTATGCTGCTCCACTTACAGAAAAGTCAAAACAACAACAACAAAAAGAAAAATTTACAACATGGCATTTCAAAGCACTTCTTGATTTTGTTTAAAGATAGAAGACCAAGTGGTGAACTTGGGTCAACAAAAAACATCCATGTTTCTATTTTGCCTGCTTTCCGAAATGCCTTACAGTTCCTAATGCCCATGCTTTGTAACCTTGGGTCTTTCCTCTCCATTACCCTTGAGAAGCAAACATATCCAATCAGACAAGATTGAAATCAAATGAGAGAATATCACCAAACAGTTCATGTCTTGTCTTTATTTTGTTATATAAAATGATTAACTTCAGTTTGGTAGTATTTCTAGTGGCTGCGGGGTTCAATAAACAAGGTTGAATGAATTAGTGAGAAAAGATAAATGAAGAGACTCTAATCATATCCAGGGCAACTTATAATTTGTCCAAATAAAAAGTTTTAGATGAGTTTTTCTCTGATAAACTCCAGAAATTTCTCATTTGGCTTTCTGGGGCATAAACAGATCCAATCTTTGTTTATTTATAATAGATAATTTATTTGCTTTCTGTCTTAGGTTGCTGGGAACAGGCTTCAGACCTGTTCTCCTCAAGCCATTCAGATGCTAGAAGTATCTCTGTTTTCATGATGGGACACCTGGGATACAGAGAAGTTTCTGTGGGGTTCTTACAGAAAAGCTATGTGGTTAAAGAGGTATTTAGCTATGGGAAATCAGACTAGACTTGCCAACATCTCAGGATGGTAGTGGGGCTGGATATCCACTTCACATTGCCACTGCTTCAGTAAATCATGCCTGTGTGATGAGATCACAGTAGAATCTCTGATCACTCTTGAAGGCTTCCTGCTTGTAACCCATGCTTCACCAAGAGCTGACCCAGGAACTTGTGGAACCTTCCGGGACTTATCCTCCGAGTCTTATTATTTCACACTCCTAATTTTGGTGTCTTAGTATCGAACTTGAAGTATAATGTTTTCCTGCGTTACCGAAGGACAATGTGGGAATCGTGTGTGAATAGCCAACTGTGCAGTACTGCAGCTGACTTGAGATTTTTCCAAGTGTCTAAAATGAGGTCAATTTTGGGGGCCTGTACATTTAATCTGTGAAATGACTAGGGTGGCTATCATCAGAATTGCAACACTGCATGGTGGATATCATTTGATATGTTTCAGCATTTAGAGTTCTTGACATTTTTAGGGTTTCTGCATACCATAATAAGCAGACTTCCAACCACAGTCTATTTGTATCCTTCCACAGGGGAAAAAAAAGTCTTTGTGGCCTATAATTCAAGTGAGCCTGACTGGGGGAAGGCCTAAAGGTGGGGCTGCTGAAGCCAGCTCTTACAACTTCTAAAATAAGAGAGAGGGTGATCAACAGGCACTCCTATGAGGAGGTACAAATGGAAGCTTTCTTTGGAACTCCCTGGATGGCTAGTGCATTGCAGCTAGCTTAGTCAGACTGAAGGAGAGGGAGTCGTTCCAGACATGAGCAGTGTGGCATTTGAAAAAGCTGAGATTGCCTCCCTGGGCCTGGATGACAGCACTGGCTCTGTAACAGACATCCTCTAAGACAGGAGAAATGTTATTTCAAAGAACTAGAAACATCTGTCAGATGATATCCTTCTCTTTCTTCCCCCTTGCCCTTATACTGAAGAACACTGGCTCTCTCATTTTGTCCTGAGGAAGTCTTAGAGAACACAGGCATGGAGTGACAAGCATCCGCAATGATTGGCCTGTAGGAAGACAGGATGTATTCTTTAAGTGCCTCCCAATTATATCCAAATCTAGCATAGCATCTGGAGCAAGAAATGCACACACATAATGCATGTCATAAATAGAAGGAAGCATACATCTCAAAAGGCAACTAAATACCTAGATTCCTCATTTATGTACTAAAGGGTTTGGGGCAAGTTTCTTTGGTCTTTTTCAGGCGTAATATCCAGCGGTTGCAAGTATTATGTGGATGCTTGTCACACCATGTAAACAAGTCCCAAAAGAAAGTTAAGACGCAGGGGTAAACTCTAAGGGCATTGGTTGTCCTGAGGTCATGAGAACTAGGGGAAAGTGAATAGAAAGATGCGTGCTTAGACGACAGCAGAGGCCTGTCCGCCACTGTTCACCTTGACTCTCAGCCTACAGTCTTTAAAGACGGATTTGGGAACACTGAAGAGACACACTGAAGCATCTGCACTTGATGTGAGTGGAAACGGAAAGCTCTGGGATGAATGAGTGGCTTGGCAAAGGGAAGATCAATCCACTGGCGGTAGGTAAGGTTCTCACACAGCAGGGCAGGTGGCTATAAGTCCCAGCATCAAAAGGGACATATTGTAAAAGTCAGATAACAAAAGTATGGACCAGAGGCTTGGTAAGACCAGATGTGAGTCACAGGCCTCGCAGGGCGTTTTGCATTCTTTACTTGCTGCTGTGATAAAACATCCTGACAAAAGTCACTAGGGGAGAAAGGGGCTATTTGGCTCACAGTTCCAAGTTGTAGTTCATCATTGCTGGAAACCCCAAATGATAGGAACTTCAAGCAGGTGTTCATATAATATCGACAACCAAGAGCAAGGAACAATCCATCACAGACACTCCCTGTCATTACCTTTGAACTAGACAGCTCCTTGTAGGTGTGCCTAGAGTCCTGTATCCTCAGTGTCACATTGAAAATTAATCCTAATCATCACACAGGGTGTGTGTGACCCCAGGGACCTGCAAGGAATGTTTGGCGACATGCAAGTTCAACGTGATGTAGTGATGAGGAATTCAATTACAAATGTTGGTCTTTTTCAGGATAGGTGGCAGGGCCTGAGGGGAGTGAGCAGAGGAGATGTGAGGCCTAGAGATTCCAGAGGAAAGAGTGTGAGATACACTGAGCCCCCAGAGCCCAGGTGTGGAGCCATCCATCCTGAAGAGCCCAGGAGGAGGTCAAGCTTGGAGGAGGTCAAGCTTGGTGTTAGTTATCTGCTTGGGTGTCAAGTGACAACAGGCTTGCTTGGGAAAGCAGAAGTGTCCGTAGGACAGGAACCACATTTGAGCTAAGATTCCTTGCAAAGAGACACTGGACTGTCAAAGTCCAGGGCCAAACTGAGGAAACACCATAGCACTTGGCAACAGTGAGGTCAAGGGCCACCATTAAAGTCCATAATGAGAGGTTGTGTGAAAAGAGCTTTCTAAAATACATCTATCTGAGTACGTCATTACAGGTTGGATTATCTTAAAGATATGAACTGTGGTTATAAGAGAAACGACAACCACATCTGAAGGGAGACTGTGGAGGAGGTTATCATTTTACATAACACTCGATTGCAGGCTGGTGAATTTACAAACAGCATTGTATTGAAATACTAAGGAAACAATCAGTTTTTTAACATGTTTTTCTTACAAACAAGTGTCTTCCAAAGTCTACATTAATATAAACTCAGTGCGAGTAACAGAAGATTATACTGGTGTTTATTTTGTGCCAGACATTTTTTTCAGCTCTTCTCATTTAATTTCCAGAGTCAAGTCGATGCGCATATGTGTGTTTTGTCTGTAATAGGCATGATTATAAAAAAACACTGTCATTATTTGACATATGAGGTTTCTGGTGCATTAAAAACACAAACCCAGGCAATCTGTCCCACAGTTGATGTTTATAATGGTGGGGAAACTTGGGAGAATATGTGGAAAATGCTTTCTGTGTAAACATGAGCACCTGAGTTTAGATTTGCAGCGCCCATGTAAAACCAAAAGCAGCTAGACACATCCATATTTCCAATACTCCAAGGGCAGATGGGAGCTGGAGACAGGAGAATTCCTGAGACTCACGGGTCAACTATCCTTGTGTGTAGAGCAATGAGTACTAGAGACTATCTCACACCAGACAAAAGCTGATAATGGACATCAGAGTTTGTCCTCAGACCTCAACTTGTGAACCATGACACAAGTAGTCCTGAAATGACCCTCCTTCCGATTAAATAAATAAATAAATAAACATCAATGGATAGGAGAAAGTGTCCTCTTTTAAGTGTAAAATTTGTCAGAGGTGTTTTTGATTCTTGCCTATTTGCAGTACACTTTAACTTTTAAATCATATTGTATACATATAATTTATAATTTCATGCCAACTCAGGGTTACTCTTGGCAGGAGAGTAGCAATGAATTATAGGAGCAGAGAACTGCGTATCAGTTAAACACCAGATAACTACAAACACTGTGCACCGTCGCATTCCTGAACAAAAGCATTTACTTTGGTGTTCCAATAATGGCTAACGCTTATGGACCAATTATTATGTGCCAGGCACTCTGATAAGTGACTCTGAATTCACTTCTGCATTTAATCCCCATGGTAACCCTCTGCAGTAAGTAATATCAGCACTTTACAAAGGAAATTCTGGAGTTCAAGAAATCTATGACTCAAAGTCCAAAGTCACTCCAGAGCAATAACAGATTCTGGCAGCTGACGTTACAGAGCAGTCTTATCCAGAGCCAAGCATGAGCTGTTAAAGCAAAAACATAAGCTATCCATAGTAACACACATAATAGTAATTCCTATGTGTATGTACATAGCAGGAGTAAAGACCCTTATTTTGTATCTTCAAATAGAAGGAGGATCTTATTTGTAGATTCATAAAATTGAAACTATGGATTTAACTTTTAAAAATCCGGTTAAAATAATGTCATCTGCCTCTATTATGTCCATAACCCTTTAAGAAAGCACAGTCTCCCACCAAGTCCTGAAGGTCCTGAAGAGTCACTGGAACACTGTCACCCCTAGGCGACAGCCACTGCTGTATGGCTGACCAAAGCACCAGTGCGTTCTCGACTGCACCCTCCTCTGCCCAGCCAGGCTTCCATGTGATTCTGACACACGCCGAGATTGAGAAGCTTCCTGCTGTCTGTGACCTGCACTGGGCTTCCTGTCGCCTTGCTTTCTTCTGCATGCCATATTTGGCTTTTCATTTCACTTTCTTGACTTG